TCTAAAGTGAGTTAGTTCATTAATGTAAATGACATGAGGGAGATGTCGGACACACATTGAATGCACCACTCTGCTTCAGCACAGCAGAGTTCTGCTCTGCCTCTTTGGTTCTTATGGACCTGACTAATTTCTGAAAGCTCACCTCTGAACAAGGACATGGACACTTTACCTGTGATTTATGAACCATTTTGAGATGTGTTCATTTACAACATTGTCACATTACAGAGTGTCAGAGACAACAGTGTATGGCAAAAGTTAGCACTTGTAGCGTTAGTTTCAGCTAATTTTTATTTATCTGTTTTGCATTAGTGAAGCTAATTTTTGTAGTTAGTTAATTAGTGGTTAGCAAACTTTTGTCTTCTAACTTTTGGTTAGCTGTGCCCACCACTGGAATTATTTGAATGTGTGTCGGGGGATGTCTGTGTGTGTGTGTGTGTGTGTGTATTACCTCATACTGTGTGATAAGACCATTGGGTTCTACAGGCTCCTCCCACTTGAGAAAGATCATGTCATCGAGTGGGGTGAACGTCAAGGACTCCGGAGCAATGCCCCCAGGAACTAAAGCGGGACAGAAAAACAGCCCTCACTGAAACAAACACTCCACTCGGGTCTCGAGCTAATGGACTCTTGTGCGGGCATGCCAGCGGGTGAAAACACTTTTGACAGTGGAGAGAAAAATGGCACAAGGCCAAGGAGGGATGAAGGACATGGAGGAGATTAGGGGGTGAAATGAAAGGAAAAGTGTCCCGTCTTTCTTCCAAGCCTCGGGATAAAGTCAGACTCTGTGTTTTGCTGTCTGATAACAGAGCAGCATGTCTGGAAGGATGACAGCTGATGTTTCTCTTTCAGACTTGGACTGACAGAAAACAAGTAAAGTAATCCTCTGAAGTGCCAGAGCACATCTTTGCATGTTTTTTTTTCTTCGTTAATGAGATGTGTCTCTTTAATAACTCTGTCAGGTATTGTTACAAGAGGAAAGATACAGTTACCTTCAAACCAGTTCATTTACTTGTGTTAAACAGGATAGTAAAAATTATCTTTAATTTTATACTTGTTTCCTTTCTCTTTGAGTTTTTATGTGTCTGTTAGCAAAATATATCATGAACCACTGCACAACCACTGACAAAATCTTCTCTTTCAAACTTAAAGGCTTCAACCTTTTTTTTATATAAATGACTTTGACCTCATCCCATTTTCTATTTTAGTTTTCTTGTTTTCTGGTTTTGTTTTAGTTGTTTTTTTTCCATTCTACCATGTTTAGGCATTGATTTGTGAAACAAGAAGTTGCGCATATTTAGATGTCCTTGATTTTCTGAACTAAGGGTTAGGTGACCACATATAGGAAAAATGTACTTTTGCTAAACAAATACAAGAAGCCAATGTGTGGAAAAGAGACACGGCCTTTATCACTAAAACCTACAATTGGAAAAGTTCCTCTGTGTTGCAGCTGTGGTTGAATTGCTAAATGCAGTTTTTTTCTCACAGTATTAACTTTTAAATGGTTTGCATGTTTCCTTCAGAATTAA